TCTCAAATGCCAACTTGAACAGTCATCATCATTTTTAAAAAGAAATTATTTAAGTAATTCTCAATTGCTTGTTTAAGCAAACAAAGTGAATATGGCATACCACTTCCCACAAGATGAATATGGTATATACCATTATCCACCTGGGTAAAACATGCAAGTTGAACAGTTATTGCAATGCTAATAATATTTTTAAAACTTAAAAAAATTATAGAATATAAGAGGTACAGACAACTGCAAAGAGAATGATACAGATGAATAAATTACTAATGCCAAAAGAAATGGGACGCCCACCCAAAGCCCTCCCTTTGCCCCCTCTCATCACACCAGCCCCCCTCCCACAAGGAACCACTGGCCTGACTTTATCGTAATCATTTTCTCGCCTTTCCTTATAGTTTCATCACCCAAGTACACAACCTTCAACACTATAGTTGAAGGTTTTGTTTTTTTTTTTTTCCAGATGGGTTTTTTAGGTCTCTTAATTTACAACTTCTCCATCCTCTCCCTTTTCTTTCTTGTAAAAATGATTTTTGAAGAAATGGAGCCATTTCAACCTGTAAAATGGCAATGTGAGCCTGAATTTGCTGATTGCATCAATACAAGTATTATAACTAGTTAGTATAAATCAAGCCATAAGGAGGAGATCAGGTAGAATGAAATGCAAACATCTTGTCTGCCAAACTCACAGGAGCATTAAGACTTTTTTCCTCTAACAAAAACCATGGGATGATGATGATGATGATGATGGTGATGATGATGATTTATTTTGCTTTTACAAAAGCTTTGATATAGTTGCCTTGAGGTAATCTGTTTCTTCCCTCCTCTTGCTGCCTCATACATACATCTTGTAGAAAATCTGGTAATGGGAAAATGCCATGTTGGATATATAAGAGATGCAAAAAAAAATCAATAAGCATAAATAAAACAAAAAAAGGATTTTTTTCTTGGGAACGAAATGGAAAGGACCAGCAACCTCTACCCAGCACTTTGGTTATTTGGAAATTTTGGCACTTTTCTTTCTTTTAAGAGACAGACAGATGCAGCTACCAGCAGAAAAGAAATAGATGGTATCAAAGCAAAAATCAATAAAAGGGTGATGTAAAACTCAAAGCAATTCTTCTTTAGTGCAATGAAATAAGCCATATTCATTCCCCTCCTCACGTTGCCTCTCACTACCACATTCTTTTCAAGCCACAGTTTCTAAGCAATGGCCTTCAGGCAAGGAATAAGGATAGCTGTGTAGTTAAACCTACTTGCTGTAAGATCTTGGAGCAAGTTATTTAGAGGTTTCCTTACAGGAACAGTGAAGCTAATATGTACCTTACGAGGTTGTTGTTGGGGCCTCCATTGAGATAATAGCTATAAAGTGTCACATAGTAAATGCATAACAAATGTCAGTCTCTTGGCTTTGCCTCTTCCTGGCCAAGTTGTATCAATTTTCCTTTAAATATGTTGACTTTAAACATTCAAGTCATTGAAAATCAAAAGTTCAAATAAAGGACATAAAAAATTCTGAATTTTCATCGCACCCTATGCAGAATAAACCTTTTGACAATGTCCTTGTGAATTTAGATACTTAGCAATATGCTTAAACTTTAAGAGCCAGGGACAAAACCCCTCTTTCACAATACTTCCCACGTTCATCCTTTCCTGTCGATTCCCTCCACAACCTTGCTGGTTTGGCACTATTTAATCCATCAGATAGCAAAAGGGAGACTGGAGATCTTTTATTCCAACCCTCATTTTCCTGGAGACGAAACTGAAGCCTAAGCACACTCTAGTTCACAGCAGAGACTAGACCACAGCCTCTAACACTGGTTGCTAATTAAGTGCCTACAGGGGCCAGTACGCAAAAGAGATGAGAGTAAAGGGAGGGGCTTAGGTGGGGAGCACAGCTGTCCTAAACGGTGAACTTCTGCTCACAGTTACCACGTGGGAGAAAAGGCCAAGTGCTGCTAGAACTTCGAACATTTAAAGAGATCACGGAAACTTGAAACTTCATATATAATCTACTTGCTTTTAAATGCTGGCAATGTATTAAACATTTTTTTTAAGCCTCTTTGCAGGTCAAACAAGGCACATCTGTGGGCTGGATTTAGCCAATTTGAGGCCTCTGCATCAACGCTGCTAACTTAGAATTTCTTTTATTTAATTTGCTTTGATTCTCATATTCCTTGCTAAAACAACAACAACAACAACAAACAAAAAAACAACCTTCGAGGGCTCCCCATTGCCTACAAGATAAAGTCCAAACTTCTTAACCAGTCCTTCAAGGCAATCCATGACTCTATTTAAGACCCCAAATTATATTTGCACCTTACAGTCTCTGTCTTCCCCTGCAACCAGAATGGCCACCGATTTCTACATCAGGTACAAAAATAGTCAGAAGGTCACCTGCCCAAGCCATGGGCTGTCCTTGGTCCCCAGACTTTTCCTCTCTTGGAATCCCTTCCACCTGTGCACTCCCATCAGTGAAACTCTGTCCATCTGTAAGCGCCCAGCTGAAATACCACCTTTTCACAAAACATCCCTGACGGCCCCTGCACAAAGCCACCTTGCTCTGAATTTCCACAGGACTTTATATCACTCACATGATACTTAAAACATACTGCCTTTTTTTGGAGTATAGCTCATTTCTCCTAGCAGCTAATAACACTCCTGGAGGGAAGGGTGAATAGGTTCACATGTTTTGTACAAAGTAGGGGGCTCGATAACTGTCTCAGAAATATTACCCTTTTATACCGAAAACTTGTAGATCAAACATGAAGAAAACACGTTTACCAAAATCCACCGCATCTGTACTTTCAGAGGCAGGCTCTTGAGTGACAAAAAGGAGCAAAGACCTCACTTCTCTGGCTTCCCAAAACATTTCCCCCACTGAACTACTACTTTCTACCCGCTTTAGGATTTCCTCCTCTAGAAGCACTCACATCTTTGCCGTGGACAACACTGATTCTAAGAGACCACTGTTAAATATTCATCTGTTATGTGAAAGTGTTGGTCTTTCTCTAGGAATAAGGTTACTTTATCAGTCTGATGATTATCACTTGGAAAAACGCAGAGAGCTAGGCTACTGTCATCAAATAGTTCAGTTGTGATAAAACTGATTAAACCATGAGTACTCAGCAACCAAGGCTAATTTTGAGTGTGAGAGTCCTAAACTGAGATCTCACACTTTTGTTTTTCGGGAGCCACGCCCATTTTCAGTCATCTACATTTGGCTGTGTCAAAAAAGAAAAGAAAAAAAAATTAGACTCCATTTTATTTTTGTTGGCCTGGCCCACACTAGAGGCACTCAATAAAATATTTGCTGAATGAATTTCAAAAAATCAATTTTCACACTCTTCTAAGTCTTATAAGATGGCCTAAATTTGTACAATATTGGGAAAAATTGATACAACCTTACCTCAAACTAGGTATAGTTTGGATGTCAGTTGAGTAATTTCAATTAGCATACCCTGGATACACCCTTTTAAACCTGTACAAATATATACTGTCAAAGGCAAGTTAGGCCTTGCAAACATCAAGTTAGGTCCCCACATTTATGTCACGTGGTAATCTGTTTTGCTGTTAGAGAGCCAAGACAATCTTGAATTCCAGGAAACATCAACGAGAACTGACTACAGGAGTTTCAACTATGAGAACAATGTTTTTTCCTGTTTTGGATGATGCCATTGTAGGTCGCAACTACTAACCCTCTAATTTCTTTACCAAAAGAAAAAAGTTCATTCTTAAACCTTTACTGGGAGTGCCTCTAGCAGAAGCACATTATAGCATGTTTATAATATTTACTAGCATAAGCATAATTTAACAGACTCAAAGAGCTTTCCATAAAAAGCAATTTTTTTCTTTGTAACTCCTGAGAAGGAAGAACTGGAAGAGTTAAAAAACAGTGACCAAGAGGCTCTGAGTCCCCTCATTTTTCCTACTTTAGTACGTTTTGTGGTGAGACAGACTTCAAGCAATACCCTCTCCTTTGTTGAAAACGAATTAAGGTGAACATGCTTATCCTGTCTTTATATAAATAATTTTGTGTTAAATTTCTGAAAACAAAATTTCAATATTTTATAAATTAACATTCAAAACACTTTTCTAGTGTCCTTAGAGGAATTCTAGACCTTTGATTATTGGTTAAAACACGATGTACCCCAACAGTAACAAATACTTTGATTATATTGTTGCAAACTAAGAAGGCCCACGGATTTGTTAAAGAACAAGAAAAAAGTAACACACTTATGAACCCAGGAGGAAGCCCGGGATCCAGCAAGATCTCTTGCTCCCACTTGAAAGAATATAAATGCGCCCAGAGGAAGGGCTCGCCAGGGCTGTTTTTCTATCTTAAATCAAGACAAAAATAAATGGGCAGCTCCACTCCCCTTTGATCTTCTTCAGAGTATATTTCCAGCATAAACTGGCATTGTTTAGGCTGACGATGTTTCCCCAGAGGACCGGTGAGACAGAAGGAGAGAGTCATGCAATCGCAACCCAAGAATATGGGTGTTCTTCGCACGGAAATGGAAACGCCGTGCTGAGCCAGCGGGGACACGCGCGCGCAGACCATCTGCGCGGGAGGGACATTTGGAAGCCCTTAATGAGTTCCCTGCTTCTGAGAATGGGGTGTCATTTACTTTTCACTGTAAAATGATCGGGGTGGAGGGGAACTGAATACGGGTGGAGGGCAGTCACCCCACACTCCTAGAATCCTTCCGGGAGCAGGCGGATTCAGGCTGGAGAGGCGGGAATGTTCGGGACCAAGGGGCCCCGGAATGACCCCGGAGAGGTCGGAGCCGCAGACCTAAGCGCCCCACTCCCAGGGACTGATGCGGCGGAGAGTTAGGCCGGGGGAGGGGGGCCCCACAGGAGGGGTAGTTCAGGGAACGTGTGGAAACATCACGTCAGCTCTTCCCGGTGTCTGAGGGCTGGCAGGCGCGCGGCCGAGGAGCAGGAGTCGCCGCGGCCCCGCCCGTGTCCCCACCGGGCGACTGGGGCGGCTGGCCCCTTACCTGGTTCCTGCGGTACCACGCGCCCGACAGGGAGCCGTTGCCGGCGCCCAGCGCCCAGTACGTGAAGTTCCGGGACAGCTCGTCCACCGCAGCCGAGGCGGCGGCCATTGGGGCTCGCTCCCGGCGCTCGGGCTCGGGCTCGGGCTCGGCCTCCGGCTGCCTCCCGGCCCCGCCGCTCCTCCAGGCGCCGCGGAGGAGGCGCGCCCGGCCGAGGCCGCACCCGGGCCGCGCCGAGGCCACTTCCTGCTCGGCGCCCGGAATGGCTGGCGCATCGCGGCTACCTGGCTCCCGCCCCCGCGCGGCGGGCAGGTGCGGCTCCCGCCCGCACGCCCCGCCTGGCCCGGCGCGGCCTCGGTCCTCTGGCGCCAGGTGCCCGCGGGGACCCCCGCCGTCTGCGGCCTCTCGGGGCCGCCCGGCTCGCGGCGCATCGTCGGGGCCGCGGGGCCTGGGCGCTCGGCATCCTCACTGGCCAGACCGCCCAGGGCGGATCCCCGTGCGCGCGGGTGGCCGCACCTGCTGGGGCGAGAAGGAGGTGTCTCCAAAGGCGCTTCCAGCCCCAGCGAGCGCTCGGTCAGGACGCACTGAAGTGAATGGGAGAGAAACCCCTCCGTCTAGCCCAGAGCAGCCCCCTTCACCCCGTCTGTACCTGGCAGTTCCAGCTATCACACTTCCAGTGTTTCTCACTTGAACTTTCAAAGTTGTTTGCATATGGAAAAGTCACGAGTTCCCGAAAATATTGTAAGCAACATGAGAATAAAGGTTGGATCGATTAAATCTCAATATCAACAACTGATAGATCTTAGTAAATATTCCCGCAATGAAGGAAGGAATCTCCTGGTGGTAGCTGGAGGACCCCAAAGTTTCCTTCAGAAACGGGGTTTACTTAAGATGGAACCAGAAGGAATTGCTGAAATGTTGCCAACTGCCGGATTTAAGAATTTAGAATGGGAGATCATTGTTAATGGTCTTAAAGAACTCTAACTAGATGTTTTGGTTTTGTCTGTATTCAAATTCTACTGTTCCTACACAAATGACTTGTAAGGCACCACTGACCTTGAGAATCCTGTGATTCTATATTGTTGCCTGAAGCCCCGGCACTTGCAATTCTTTTGTTTACACAATGCTGAGATTCTTCTTAGGTAATGTATTTTGACTGCCATGACTTCATTACAGAGAGACCTTCAAGAAAAGAGAATTGCTGCCTAGTGAAAAACTGGGAGAAAGTTTTCAGTGTTTATTAGGGGATGTGTGCAAATGAGAAGGAAATGAGAAAAATATCATTTTAGGTAAAGAAATAACAAGACATGTCATCTGGGAAGCTGTGTGGTTTCTTGCTTGAGCACCACCCAAAATGCTCAATGAACAGTTACTACGGTAGCTAACTATATGCAATTTTAAGAGGTTCATTTATTTCAAATAAATATCTGAAGGAAAAAGTGTCTATTTTTTATATCTTCTATAATATCACATTAACTTGTGTTGGTGACTTTATTAATGCTTCCTTCAGCTGAGCTGCTTTAGGGTACCAGTAACAGAATATCCTGGTAAAAGTGGCTTAGACAACAAGCATCTATTATCCCCGGAGGAAATTTTGTTCTGTATGGCTCAATGATGTCATCACTTCCATCTTTCTGCTCTACCATCCCGGTTATGTTAGGCTTTTCCCTTTTCATAGTGGCAGCTCCAGGCATTACATGCAAACAGGACCACATCTAGGAAAAAAAAAATCAAAAAACAAAAACGAGGCATAGCTTCTTTTTTTCAAAAAGATTTTATTTATTTATTTGACAGAAAGAGAGAGAGAGAGAGAGAGCACAAGCAGGGGGAGCCCCAGAGGGAGAGGGAGAAGCAGGCTCTCTGCTGAACAGGGAGCCCCATGCGGGGCTCAATCCCAGGACCCTGGGATCATGACCTGAGTCGAAAGGCAGATAGATGTTTAACAGACTGAGCCACCCTGGCACCCAAGAGGCGTTTCTTCTTATGCATCTTTTGATTAGAGGAAAACTTTTTTCAGACTCCTCCAGCAGACTCCCTTTCAGGTCCCATTAGCCAGGACTGGGTCACATGCCCATCAATGCTCTACGTGCAAAAGGAAGCTGGGAAAGTGACTCTCAGGCATTTCCAGCCTTCAGTGTGGGAGTAGAGCTCTATCAGCAAGGAAGAAGCCAGGATGGGGTGGGAGGGTACCATCAGCAGAGCCTGGCACAACCACTCCTCAGTATATATTCTATCAGCCAGATTGTAACTAGTCATGCTGTCTCTAACAAGCAAGATAATAAATGGATCGTGTCACTTTCCTGTTTCAAATGCTACCAAACCTCCCCATTGACACAATAAAGTTCACACTTTTTAAGCTTGGCATATGAGATACTTTATGATCTGGCCCCCCTACGCTGCTACACTCAAAACACTCCCATTTTATCTTTTTAATTAAAAAGATCATTTTCTGTTTCTTTGCATTTGTTTAAAAAACGTCTAATTTTGGAGGAAGACAGCACTTGGTACAGAAGAAGTATGATGTGTAGCCCGTGACATGCTGTTCTCCAGAGTCCAAGATGCCGCTGCCGTTGCTGTGGTTGTCCTAGTGCGTGGGGGTGGTTGGAACAAAGAATTCGTGACCAATGTTCCTTTCCACTCAGTTTACAAGGAGGCGGCAGGAATGCTGTGTGAGCTATTTTGGTCCCAGCAGTGTAGGAGTTGCTGGAGGCTGTTCAGGGCTTTATGACGGCCTCTACCTCTTGCGGATTTTCTTTCGGGGATATCCTGTTCACTTTATAGGACACCAAAAGCCTTTGATCAACTGCCTGTTTTGAGCACTGAAATGGTGGAGGTCTGTTCCTCAGTTAATTCAAGGAATTCTGTTCTGGTGCCACATCATTTGAAGCTAAATCCTGACTCCACTGCAGATTGGCTGTGTGATTTTGATCAAGTTGCTTAATTTCTCTGTGCTTTGCATCCATCTGTAAAATGGAGCTGATGAGTACTGAAACATAGAAAGTACTCTTTAACTGCTATCATTTACTACTTATGACTGTGGGAGAGGGGAGAATTCTTTAAACAAACAAATACACACAAAAATACAAACCACAGAGGATAAGATTGATAACACACAATTGCAATAAAATTAAGAAACTTCATATATCAATAGACCATAAAATATAAAAAGATAAGTCACAAAGTGAGAACACTATTTGTCATGACATATAACCGACAAAGTTTCACATCCAGAATATGTAAGTAACTCCAATAGGTCAATAAGAGAATGCCAGATAACCCAGCAGAACAAAAGGGCAAAAACATAAACAGGCATATTTCATAAGATAAAGTATAAATGGCTGATAAACATATGAAATGCTTCTGTCTCACCACTAATCAGAAAAATGCAAATTAAAAAGCCAAATGAGAATCAATTTATACTTACCTGGTTGGCAAAAAAAAAAAAAAAATTTAATTTTTGTATTGTTTCAGTTCATTTGGGCTGCTATAGCAAAATACTAATGACTGGATAGCTTATAAACAACAGAAATTCATTGCTCCCAGTTTTGAGGCTGGGAAGTCCAAGATCAAGGCACCAGCATGGTCACATTCAGGAAGGCCCTCTTCCTCGTTCACAGCCAGCACCTACGGGCTAGAGATCTCTCTGGAGCCTCTTTTATAAGGCACTAATCTTAAAGGCTCCACTTTCCAAGGCCTCACCTACTAATATCATCAACCTTTGGGCAGGTTTGGGTTTCAACACATGAATTCTGGGGGGACACAAACATTCAGATCACAGCACATACAAATTTTGGTAAGGATCTGGAGTAACAGAAACTCCTTTTCACTGCTGATGCTATTAACATTGGAAATAATTTGACATGATTTGGTAAAGATAAAGGTGCTTCTGTGAATTTCACTCTTAGGTATATGGCCCAGAGAAACATGGATAGCAGGAGAGATGTACAAGGATAACAGCACTCTTTGTAAAAGCAAAACAAAAACAAAAAAATGGCGACACCTCAAGCGTCCATCAACAGAAGAAACAGTGGGCAAGTGAACTTTGATACTCTTATACAATAAACTACTAGACAGCAATGAAATTGCCTATGCCACAGCTATCCCGTATCCACATTGACATGGATGAATCCCACAGACATGATATTGAGTTAAAAAAGCAAGTCCACAGATTATAATACCGTGTGATTCAAAAGCATGCAAAATCAGACAACACACTATACATCCATATGTAGGAAAATCTAAAGAAAAGCAAGGGGATGATAAACACAAAATTTGGATAGTGGTTCAAAGGTATTGGCAATGTTTTACTTCCTAAACTGAGTGATGGGCTACATGGGCATTTATTTTATTATTATTATGAAAGATACACAATGATGTCTCATGTGACATAATTTTTATAAGTGTAATATTTTATAACTAACACAAAAGATTAATTAAGAATAAAAATGCAAGGTTTTGTGGTCAAACTTTCCAAAAGTTCAAGGTTGGTAGACCTGGATTTAAGTTCAGTCTTCTGCTCCTTATCAGCTGCGTGGCTTTGGGCAAATTCTTTGAGATTCAGTTTCCCAATTCATGAAGTTGGAAATAATAATATTTTGTTTCAAAGACTGTTGTAAACATTCAGTACCAGGCAATGTGAGCGAGAAACACTTTATAGTTCAGCTCAGTTCACCAAACACTTGGTGCCGGACACGGGCTCTGTGCCCAGGGGCTGACACAGACATGGGCAGACAGGCAGGTAAACAGGTAGACTCAAGTTAACTTTAGCATGAGAGCCAGGGGACAGCAAAATAGCTGTTCTCAGCTCAGCTTGGGAAGACAAGTGCAGCCTGCGAAGGCCAACTAGCAGGGGGTGCTGAGTGTTCCGAATCCCGAGGATGAGTTAGCCACTGCAGAAGGGAGGTGGGAGTGAGCAGGACTGACAGAAGGAACAGCATAAACCAAGGCCAGAGGCCAGAAACAGTATAGTGTGCATGTGTCCACATTAGTCATGGCTGGGATGAGATTTACCCGAGTAAGGACAGCAGGACCAGTAGGGCCGGGAAATAGAGGATTTGTATGCTGGGTTATCAAGGCTGGACTTGACCCTTAATGGCAGCCTTTGAGTAAGTTTACATAAGGGAACAGCAGGACAGTGTTAGTGCTTTAAAAGATTCTCTGCTGGAAGGGCAGGGATGGTTTCGGTGGAAAACACCGGAGAGGGAGAGTCAAGTGA